GTCAGGCAGCTCTTCCAGGCCTTCCCTTGACCTCAATCCAGTCTTCTACTACCTCTTCCTCTGATGTCTCCAGTAAGGACCACTCACATTGCTGGACTTCTCATCCACCACTGGCCATCACCGGGTGAGTGACCCCCATAGACTCATCTGGATTTCTGGAATCCCTGCCTCAATTTCTTTCTCCATGGGTACTGTTACACTGACAAATCCCAGCCCTGGGTGAGAAACCCTCACCACCACTGGGTGGCAATGACTTGTTTTATGGGGGGACACCATCAATTGCCTATTTTTCTATTGATTGTTCTTGGAACAACCTTAGAGAAATCAATTTCTTGTGGGGACACTCCTTGTTTTTGTCTTTTCTCTTTGCTGGAGTTTTTAGGGGGGGGCCCTCCTCAATCCATTTGTCCAACATGGGCCAGACCCTGTCAAAACCTCCATGACACACCCCACTGGGGTGCCTTCATGAACATACTCAGATTCTGGGTCTCCAAGACACTGTCAGACTTACTGCCTGGCCCCAATACAAGTCACTGGCCTGATAATGAATTTGACTTCCAAATTCTCTTGAGATCTTGAAAACTTTCTCCACTGCAATGGCAAATGGTCCAGGGTTCCATATGTCCAGGCCTGGTACCTCCACTCCAAACCTTCTCTCTGCCAAAACTACTCAACTTTTCACATTCTTTAATTAAAACAACAACAACAACAAAAACCCTCAAGGCATTTATTTCTTGGGACCCCTCCCTCTTTGGGAGCTCTACTTTCTATTACTCTAATAAATCCTGTTACTTTGCTCTCTCTCTCTCATCCTTTTGTCCATGGATTTCATTCTTCAAATTTACAAGACAAAGGCTGGGATTGTTGGTCAGTGGTAGAGCACTCGCCTAGCATGGGCAGGACCCGGGTTCGATCCTCAGTGCCACATAAAAATAAAATAAAAATAAAAAATGTTGTGTCCACTGAAAAATTAAAAATAATTATTAAAAAATTCTCTCTCTCTCTCTCTCTCTCTCTCTCTCTCTCTCTCTCTTTCTCTCTCTTTCTCTTAAAAAAATTTACAAGACAGAAAACCTACCCATCCACCCTCTGTGTTACATTTATGGGGGCCCACCTGGGATTTTTGGAAGGGTAAGTAATGTGAGAAATAGAAGGTCTGGAGTTCCATTTTCAGAATATTCAGCCTGAATTGGATCCAATTGTAGCCCTCCCTTTTTGCCCACCCTAATATTAAAATTAGCCAATTGCACAGATTGTAACCCCAAATTCCTCTAATCAGAGTGAAGGGCAGTACTACCTTAGGTTAGAGATATAAGTAGGCGGTCTGCCCTTCAGGCATGCTAACTAGTCAGGTTCTGGAAGTATGCCTTTCTGCTAGAAGTAAAGGTTTACCTTGCCTACTCACTTTCCTGCACGTGTTTGATTTCTTGTGACATCTAGTTATTTCTAACAGTAACACTGAAAAGGGAGTTCTTATTTCTCTTCTCTGTGCTCTTTCTTCATGGATAAGCCAGTTAAAAGTGACTAGCACAGCTGCTGATCTTAAGACTCAGGTGATTGGCTTACTGGTGAAGGTGGAACAATCCCCTTTTGATTAGGCATTGGGAATGTCAGTTCTGACTTGCTTCAGTTTCCTTTCTGTGGAAGAGAATTGGCGCATGGGACAGAGGAAAGCTTGAGACAACTGAAGGTAAAAGACTCCCCTGTGCTGCATGAAGGTCTAATGTCCCAAGTCTGACCCTGACAGCACTCACGGGTATCAAATATCAACCATCATCTGTCTTTCTGTTTCTGACTGACTTGGCCCAATGGTGAAGGGCACCCTCACCTGACAAATCTTGGATCCTGAGATGAACATTGGACCAAGTTAGTCAGAAACAGAAAGACAGAAGTCAGTCTGCTCTGAGGTCTTTGGGAGAAAGGTGATCCATGAATACTAGAATGTCCCTAAAGTAGTGCCATTCGAAAGAAACCCTTAATAGGTCAGATGCATGCACTTTCTCCTCCCAACCATGCGTTACAAAAGGAAGACTAAATGAGCCAAGTAAAGCTCAAAGTGCTGAAAAGACATTGATCAAATTAGAGATTGTACAACCGACACCTTGCTTACTATTAACTTATTTTAGTAATCAATATCCCATTAATTGCTAAGACAAAGTGATGCCCAACTTGGCATGCCCCTCCCCCCAATTTCAAGGTATCATGCAAATCATTATTGTGCTGCAATTATGTTGCCAGTAGGGGTTGGTTACATACAGTGGTTAACAGACAAATGATCACTGGGCAAACAGGAACCATGACATTAGAAAGTAGGTAAAGAAAACTAGCTACCATCTATCTAGTCTGGTAGCAGATGACCACAATTGGGGTGGCAATGCAGACAGCTGCTAGGTAGATGGGGAGACGCTGCTTACACATCAGACCTCCTCAGGTAGAAAGCAAGCTCATAGGCTTTCTTGTTAAGTGTGCCTCCGTGGACACCTTCCTTTCCTATGACTATAATCAAGGCTGGAGTACACAGAGAAACAAAAGAAAAGTGAACAGCATGACTTTAGGATGGGAGGGCAGAAAGAAAGACACCTTTCCCCACCAACAGAGGGACACACAGGAGACACAGGTTCATACCCCATCACCCTGCATTGCTAATAAAGTTTCCAGAATTTAGACTTAAGCTTTCTGCTAGGAAAGTTTAAGAGCAATTTCCCCTAATACTTAACAGTCTGCCTAGCAGCTAGAACCCAGAGTCTCTCAAGTATTTTGCCATTGAATATGCCTTCTTATTCAATCCGCCTCCATGGACCTCTTCTTTTCCCATTACAAAGACCAAGACTCTACCAGCTCTGCCGACAATGACGTTGTATTTTGGCTCGCCACCTTGACTCTTTGTCCGGATGTCCATTGTGCAGTCGCCATCGATATATAGACTATCTCTGATCACTGAACACTTCTTTGCTCCAAGAGTCAAACCATTGGTAAAGAAGCCTTCCTGGTCTTTTCCTACAATCATATCTATCTCTACTGGGGTGATGCTCTGGAAGACGCCCCTGGCCGTGGCCGCCCAGACACATATGGCATCGCAGTAGCCGACAATGGCGGCCTCCTGGTAGCAGCCATCGCACATCAGGTTGTCCATGTAGCTCTGCCACCCGGCCATCTTCAGCCTTTCACACTGCAGCGGGACGGTTGCAGCAGGCCCGGCGGCGCCGGCGATGCCTACAATTCTTATTACACATAGAGAGTACAATTTTTTATATCTCTGGTTGTATACAAAATATATTCACACCAATTCGTGTCTTCATACATGTACTTTGGATAATAATACCCATCACATTCCATTATCATTTCTAACCCCATGCCCCCTCCTTTCCCCTCCAACTCCTCTGCCCTATCTAGAATTCATCTATTCCTCCCATGCTCCCTCTCCCTACCCCACTATGAATCAGTCTCCTTATATCATAAAAAACATTTGGCATTTGTCTTTTTTTGGAATTGGCTAACGTCACTTAGCATTATCTTCTTTAACTCCATCCATTTAACTGCAAAATGCCATGATTTTATTCTCTTTTATTGCTGAGTAATATTCCATTGTGTATATATGCCACATTTTTTTTATCCATTAATCTATTGAATGGCATCTAGGTTGGTTCTACATTTTAACTATTGTGAATTGTGCTGCTATATACATTGATGTAGCTGTGTCCCTGTAGTATGCTGTTTTTAAGTCAGCGTATAGACAGAGGAGAGGGTTAGCTGGGTCAAATGGTGGTTCTATTCCCAATTTTCCAAGAAATCTCCATACTGCTTTCTATATTGGCTGCACCAATTTGCACTCCCACCAGCAGTGTATGAGTGTACCTTTTCCCCCACATCCTCGCCAACACTTATTGTTGTTTGTAAGAATACAAGTCTTTTAAGATGTAAAGTTTAGGAGATATATAATGTGATACATAAAAGCCCTAACTGACTTTACCAAGAGAGAATTAAGTGACAAAACTGAAGGGATCTTTCAACGAATACAGAGGTAATACCAGTAAAAAGCTACTTTACAGAAATCAGAGGGCATTCCACAGCTCAAGGGGCCACCTATGCCATTATAAAAATTAAATGTTAGTTTCAAGCAATTCTACTACTGTTTCCAAAAATTTGTATGGCCTCCACTCACAAATAAATGACATTTCAGACTATACCCTATACTCTAATAAGTTACTATTTTTGTGGTCTTCAGAGGCTGGCTGGTAACACTGATCATTTTTGTGCTGTTTGCAGAAAACAGTGCTTTGCTCTATTGTTTGTTGTTGTCCTAGCATGATCTCTGCCCTTTGTACAACTTGTCTAGTCATCTGCTAACAGCCATCATGGACCTCTGGACTGCCCTGATTCATAAGGTGCCTACAGTACCATTAAGCTCCAGATGGTCATGGAACCAGATCCCCCCACCCCGCCAAGGAGCTGCCTCCCAAATTCTACTGAGGACCCCTAGATAGACCCTCTGAAGGGTTTCCCTGACTGCCACAGATGACACCCACTATTAGCTTGAAGAAACCAGAGCAGTCATTGTCCCTTTTCCTGATAGCAGTCAAGGACATCTTCAGAGGAGGAATTGAGGCATGAAATAGATTATCTATAGGTAGACAGAAATGGGAACCTTAGAGAATGGGATCCCACTATCCCACATTAAAACCCTAGGTTAAAGCTTTTTTTTTTTTTTTTGTCTGTTTTTGGCTGCCTGACTAGAAGGCCCCACTCTGGCTTGGCTACCCAACCCATATCCTTGGCAGTGACATCCTAACCATATTCAACGCCTTCATTCATTTTCATTCCCACCATAGCTCACTATACTCTTCTGCTTCCTTTATCCTGTTATGCCAACCAGATGCCTTTCCTTCCCCTCTAACATCCCTGCCATTACTCCTCCTTGAAATGTCAACCACAATGTGGGATACCTCCAAGCTCACATGGCCACCCACCACACTCCCATTAAAATTTTCCTACAAGACCCTACCTTCGGCTAAAGGGAGTTGTCTCCTATCACCACTCTGGCTGCCTCAACTATAATCAGTGAATCTTCTTTATAAATATAATTCTTATAACTGTTTATCCACTAACTAGACAGGAATTGCCTAGGCCCTTTTTCTCTTTCCAATTCTCTGTATAATTCTTGGCCTTGCTGTTTGTGAAGGATATGGAAAATAACATCTTCCAAGAAAAGGAAAATGACAGCCCCCAGGGAGAAAAAGAGGACAGTATAATCTAGGAGGAGAGGAGGGGAAGGCAAACACCCGGCCCTGGGCTCTGGGCTTTCATCCTTTCCCAGTAACACTGAGTCTGAGAGGGGAAGGCAAACAAAAGGGCTCTGGGCTCTGGATTTTTATCCCAGTAACAATGAGTTTCAAGCTATTACAACTGTTTTCCTGAGTTAGATTTTTAATCTGCAAAACTAGTTTTCTGACTGCCTGGCCGGCATGTCCCAAGTCTCTGATGATTAAGTCCCACTAAACATTCTGCTGTGATTAACTCTCATTAAAAACTATAAAAAGCAGACCCCCTCTTATAGCCAGTCGCCATTTTCTCCCCTAAAAATTTGTCATGTGTCATTTCATGGATGCTTAATAAAGACAGCTTGCTGATCCAAGGTCTGCTCCCGTTTTTGGTCATTTTTGCTTACAGTTGGGCCCTTCCTGTTTCAGCTATTCACCTCCCTTTTATAGAACCATCAACACCAGTATTGATCAGAGGGTCCAGAACATCCTCCTGCTAGCTCCATTAGAGCTGTTCAGTACCAATGTTTATATGAATTCTCAATGGAAGCTCTCTCAGCAGGAAGTAATTCAAAAGACATTGCCACTCCTTCTCCCTTCACCCCTTTCTTATGGAATAAAAAGAAAAAGGCAGGAATGTTAAGTAGAACTTGACACAGGCAACACCATTTTGAAACATAGTCTCCATCTTAGAATGAGTCCTCTCACAGTCACTCTGACTCAGCCTGACCCTAAAACCCAGACAATACTCCATCATCTTACAAAAAAGGAAATTGTTTTCTGGGACTGGAATCCTAAAAACACCTGGTTTGACATGGAACCTAAAATAATAGAGGCGAGGACCATGAGGAACTTTCCCTGACAACCCCTTATCAATGGCTTAACTGCAAAACAATTCCCCATTCCCTCATGCCCCTATATCTACTCCTGCTATAAGTGGAAGGTGGGTCTTAGTCTCCACTGAGCCCAGCTCTGCAGGTTTGTCATGAATAAACCTGTTACTGCCTCTCTTCTCTCTTTATTTACTTTATTTGCTTCTTTTCTTACACCCAGTACAAAAAAAAAAAAAAAAAAAAAAAGGGAAAAGGAAAAGACAAGGAACAAAGCATAGAGGTACACGCCTGTAATCCCAGCAGCTCAGGAAGCTGAGGCAGGAGGACTGTAAGTTCAAAGCCAGCCAGCCTCAGCAAAAGTGAGGTGCTAAGCAACTCAGTGAGACCTTGTCTCTAAATAAATAGGGCTAGGGATGTGGCTCAGTGGTTGAGTGCCCCTGAGTTCAACCCCCAGTATTAAAAAAAAAAAAAAAAGACAGGAAAATGAAGGGCAACTGAGAACCACAGGTGCCTTATCTGACAGAGAAGCACATGGAAAATGGGGGCTTGGTATGTTAAAACCTTCCCCAGCCATAATAACATCCCCTTAAGAAAAGTTATTGTTTAAGATCATGTTGTGCCGCCCCTGTCCAGCAAGGATGGCTGAACTAAGGTTGCTTGTGTGAATTTGGGGTGATGCAAAATAAAACACAGACATAAATTACCTTTACACAAGCTTCAGGATGGCTTTTCCCAGCTCTCGGCCTCAAGCTCCCCAAAAGGGAGAGCAAGAGAAAGTCAGGAGAGGCTGATGAGAGAGAGGGAAGCCTATTCAGAAGTGAGCGTTTATTTGGTGGGGACACTATTCTTAGAAAGTTCTATTCATAAAAGGGCAGAAAGGGTAAGATTACAAGGGAGCAGGTGAGTGTAATTCAACCCAGCAGATATGCCTACACCTGAAGTCAGGCCTTGCTATCTGAACTGGAACAACCCCCAAGTCACTATGAAATGTAGTGATTAGTCAGAGCTCCCTGCTTCAGGACTGGAAGGCATGTTCATTCAGAGCGGCTCCCCACAATGTTGCACCCTACCAGGTGGCCTGGATCCCCCATAAATTTCATGGAAATTTACCATAATCACCCAATCACCCTGGAAACCCAAACACCAATACCTTCACAAAGAAAGTTTGTGGAGGGGTATTCAAAGGGTAATAATCTGATTAAGGAGGCAGAAAACTGAGGCAAAAACAGGGGGGCTCAATTTCCTTAACGTCTCCAACTCTGTGAATACCACATCATGTCTTTAAGACAGACCTTGCAGTTTCTAGGCTGTTAGTCAAAAGTCAAAAGGTGGACCTGGACTGGACATTCTAGAAACTTCCCTGGGTCACCTAATAAAATTGGAGGGCAGGAAAGGTGTTATAGACCCTCTTATTTCAGAGAAGACCCATTCTCTCCCTTTTCCCCTTTCCTATCCCTTCTAATAAACTCATGCCTGTTATTCTGAGTAACTGTCTAAAATCTTTATGACATGATTGTAAGAATTTGCTTTGAAGGAAGATGGGGTTCATCTGTGGACTGCCTCAGCTTGGGGGAAGGTCAATGCCCCCTGTAACAGCACCACCACACCAGTCAAAAACAACAACTATCTCTCTCTCTCTCTCTCTCTCTATATATATATATATATATACACATATATATATATATATATATTTGTTTATATATAATTATATATATTTATATATGTTGTTTATGTATATACATACATATATATGTATATATAAACAACTATATATATAGTTGTTGTCGTGTATACATTATATATATATGTATGATTTCTGACTACTCAGGGGTTATCCAGACTGTGCTGCAGTTAATAAAAAAACAGGATCCTGGTGTCTATGGGAATCTATATGGTGCCAAGTTTAAGGAGAAAGCTTCCCTCTGTCTCCATTTGTAGGCCAACTCATTGTTTGGCATCATTTTTCCTGTGGGTGAATTTTCTTCTAGAAAAATCCAGGAGTTCTGTTAGGGAGTAGGGGTATAGCTCAGAGAGAGGGAATCCAGGAAGAAAAAAGGGGTTTGAGTTCAGCTTGAGTGTCTGTCTCCTAAGGTTTTCTCAGACCCTGGATTCAGAGAGACATGTGACAGAGAGCTATTGTCAGGATAAAGTTCCAGATCTCAGTTCGTGGATTTCAAGGTTTCAGGCCCAAGCCTGGTGTTTGAAGGTCTATGGTGCTAAAGTCGAGTTTTGGGGATTCCTCTTTGTCCTGACGTTTCGCTCCTCCACTTCCCAGCCCGACTCGGGTGTTTCTGCCTGGATAATCGTGACGCGACCGCAGTTCTCAATCCCATTGGGTGTTGGGTTCCTAGGGAAGCCAGTCATCGTCGCCGCGGTTCCGGGTTATAAAGTCCTCAAAGACAGGCTGGGAGTGGAGGTCTCCCCAAATCTGAGAATAGGATCATGGCGCGCCGAACCCTGTTCTTGGTGCTCTTGGGGGTCCTGGCCCTGACCGAGACCTGGGCAGGTGAGTGCGGATTCCGGAGGGACCGCCGGGAGGAAGCGCTGGACAGGGGGAGATCGCGACCCGCTGCCACCGATCTTTAGTCCCCAAATCCTACCCTAACTACTCTTCCTTGGTAGTTCACAGCCCAGACCTCACTACTTCGTCTCCCTCCTGGTCCCTCCCCTCTCGAGTTCTGCATCCCGCCGCGCCTGTTCGGTTTCACTAGCACCTGCCCCTCCTCCGTTCCTCCGGGTCTCATCCAACTGGGATCCTGGTCGCACCTACCCTTCAGGCTCCCACTCTTTGAGATATTTCGATATCGCCATGACCTGGCCGGGCCGCAGAGAGTACCAGTACATGACCGTCGGCTACGTGGACGACACGCAGTTCGTGCTCTTCGACAGCTACGCCGCCAATCCAAGGATGGAGCCGCGGGCGCAGTGGATGGATCAGGTGGGGCCTGAGTATTGGGAAGATCAGACACGGATCTGCAAAAACTCGGCACAGATCGACCTAGGAAACCTGCGCAACCTGCTCCGCTACCACAACCAGAGCGAGGGCGGTGAGTGACTCTGGGTCCGGGTAGGAAATCACTACCCCCACCACCCTCGACTGGCCCGAGTTGTCCCTGGTCCCCAAGTCCAAGGTTCATTCCCAGTCTTGGAGACTCAACTCGCGAAGACCCTCCACCTGGGAAAAACCTGCTGGGGGCCGTTAACCCGGTTCCATTTTCAACCTTGGTAGAAATCCCCTTGGATTGGTGAGGGTGGGGGCTGGCTGGGGACGGTGGCTGACCACGAGGACGGGGCCAGGATCTCATACGCTCCAGTGGACCCTGGGCTGTGAAGTGGGGCCAGATGGACGCCTCCTCCGCGGGTACCGTCAGGCAGCGTATGACGGCGTAGATTACCTCGCTCTCAACGAGGACCTGCACTCCTGGACCGCGGTGGATGCGGCGGCTCGGATCACACTGCACAAGTGGGACACGGAATTTTACAGGGCCTACCTGGAGGGCCCGTGCGTGGAGTGGCTCCACAGATACCTGGAGAAGGGGAAGGAGGTGCTGCAGCGCTCAGGTATATGAGGTTCTTGGATATCTCCCCTCTGCCCTCCTACTGCTGCTGGCGTCTTTGAGGAGGGGAGGAAAACGGGATTCTGGTTAGAATTCTGCAGCTCTCTGGCATCTGGAGGGAAAGGGGGAGATCAAATTTTCAGATCCAACACCAGGGAGTGAGAGAGAAGGACCCTGGAATAACCCACGAGCCCTTCCTTCCTTCCTTCTTTCCTTCCTTCCTTCCTTCCTGTACTGGGGATTGAACCCAAAGACTCACTGCCAGCTAGGCAAGGGCTTTACGACTGAGCCACCCACCCCACTTTTTTTTTTCTTTTTTCACATTTGAGACAGGATCTCTCTAAATTGTTCAGGCTGCCCTTGAACTGAACTTGCAATCCTCCTACCTCAGCCTCTGAGTAATAGTTGTGCACCACAGAGTCGCCAGCACTTCCCCTTGACTTAAGCAGCTGATTGGGAACTCCTCTCTCCCACATCTTGTTCTTTGCCCCACGTTTAAAGCCTTTGCTTATCAGACTCCAGATATTTTGAGTTTCTTGGCCTCCAGTCAGAAACAGAAATCCCTTTTCTCCTCTTCAAAGACCTCGAGCCTCCTAACCTGGGCTGGCTTACTCTGATTCTAGACCTTTCCAAGAAATAAGTTATCCCAGATGCCTCTAGGTGTTTTGCAATCTCCTCCACCCTCAGTGTCCTGTCTATTCTCTGATGGTCTCATGAGTGCTGTTTCAGTGTACCAGGAATAATGCAAGGTGGCTGAATTTTCCAACTTTTCCCCTAGACCCCCCAAAGACACGAGTGACCTACCACCCCAGCCCTGAAGGAGACATCACCTTGAGGTGCTGGGCTCTTGGCTTCTACCCTAAGGAGATCACTCTGATCTGGCAGCGGGATGGGGAGGATCAGACTCAGGAGATGGAACTTGTGGAGACAAGGCCTGCAGGGGATGGAACTTTCCAGAAGTGGGCAGCTGTGGTGGTGCCTGCTGGAGAGGAGCAGAGATACACATGCCATATGCACCATGAGGGGCTGCCTGAGCCCCTCACCCTGAGATGGGGTAAGGAGGGGATGAAAGTACAGAGCCTGTTGGCAGGGAAAGTGGAAGCTCTTCTGGAGGGTCAGGGCTCAGAGCTGGGGGTCAGGGTCCCTCACCTACTTCCCCTTCTCTTCCCAGAGCCACCTTCTCAGTCCACCATCCCTGTCATGGGAATTGTTGTTGGCCTGGTTCTCCTTATAGCTGTAGTCACTGGAGCTGTGGTGTCTGTTATGATGCAGAGGAGGAATGCAGGTAGGGAAATGGAGGGATCTGAGTGTTCTTGTTCCAGGCCCCTGGTAGAAGTGAACTCTGCCTCATTAATGGGAAGCACCATCCACAGGCACTTGCTGACACTCTATTGTATAGCACAAGGAAAATTCAGCACAAATTTATTACCTTTATGGTGGTGATGATGAAGACCTGATTCCCAGAAGTCAGAGATCACAGGGAAAGTCACTGCTGAGGACAGACCTCCAGGATGGCAGTTGATTAAGTTCCTGAATATCTCTTTCCCTGAGTCTGTGGTCGCAATCTAGAAACTTCCCTGAGGTCTAAGACTAGGGTGTTCCTCTGGGCCTTCATGGCCCTGCCTTCTCCTTGGCTCCTCACAGGTTGTTGTTTTTATTTTTTTCTCTCACAGATAGAAGAGGAGTTATCTAGGCTCCAAGTAAGTATTGGGGGAGAATGTTGTCTCTGGAACTTTTGGGATAGTGTGTATAGGAGCCCATGGGGGAACTCACCCTTCTGGGCTCTGAGTATATCATGTTTTTCTGCCCTAAGAAATGACAGCGCCCAGTGCTCTGATGTTTCTCTAGGCCTGTAAAGGTGAGACCTAGAGGGCCTTAATAAGTAGGAGAGGGGTTGGGGCACGGGAGATTGGACTAGGTTACAGGTACTCTCTGTTTTGTTCAGAACATTATCACTGGTAGGAACTGCCCTGAATTTGTTCATGGTACTTTTGTTCTGAAGCATGAAACAATGGCCTTGTGTGGGATGGAGCAACACAAGATTTGTTCAAGTCTCCCCTTTGTGATTCCAAGAACACAGGGATTCTCTTCTCTTTCTGCAACTGGTTTCTGGTTTTTTTTTTTTTTTGGACTGGAAATTGAACCCAGGGGCACTTTACCACTGAGTTACATCCCCAGTCCTTTTTATATTTTACTTTGGAGTCTCACCAAGTTGTTTAGGGCCTTGCTAAGTTACTGAGGCTGGCCTTGAATTTGCAATCCTCCAGCCTCAGCCTCCTAAGTAGCTGAGATTACAGCTGTGAACTATCACATCCACCTCTGCAGATGACTTCTGAATGTGTCTATGTTTCTATGAGCATAATGAGAAGAGGTGAAGCGACCAGCCCAACCCTGCTCTCCAGGACTCTTGTCCCCACATTGTCTCTTCCCCAGTCACCTTTCCTGTACCAGCAGAGGTACAGCTGGGATGACTCCATCCTAGGTTCAACATCAAGGTGCACTGAATTACAACTTCCTTCCTGAAAATAATAATCTGAACATAATTTTTTTTCAAAATCTCGACCCAAACAATTGAGTGGTTAATTAACAGAGAAGATTCCTAAAATTTGAGGGAGGAAATAAATGGAAGCACTGAGAACCAATGGGGACAGGAGAGGGCTGTGAGGAAGCCAGTGTGGATGGGGCCATGGCTCGTTGGTGCTCAGTCCATGCTGGGCTTTGACATGGTTACTCCTCAGCTGGGTTGTCTTCCTTACTCCCTTGTCTATATTCCTCCTATAGAACCTTGTCCCACCAGGACCTGTGATCATGGGGACTGATATTACCAGAGCTTTGTCTTGTCTCCTAGACCTGTCTCTTGTCCTGTGACCAGGTCCATCTAGGCCCAGATCTGGGTGTGACCTTCATCCTACATCTTTTGTGTTTATTCTCTGTCTTACTTTCTAAAGAGGATTATGCCTGTTATTTTTCTTGCCAATGAGTTCTGGTCTCATTCTCCTCTGTGGCACCTGATGTGGCAACAGCACAAGGCCCGTGCTTGTGGTATCTGTGGTATCAAGAGATGGATTTTCAGACTCATAAGCTCCTGTCCTCCTTCCATGGCCTTTTCCTGGATTGTCCTTCTTTATCCAATATATTTTTTTAATATTTATTTTTTAGTTGTAGGTGGGCACAATACCTTTATTTTATTTTTATGTGGTGCTGGGGATTGAACCCAGTGCTTCATGCATGCTAGGGGAGAGCTCTACGTTTGAGCCACAACCCAGCCCATTTATCCAATCTTTTAAAGTCTGATTTCTAATTCTAGGATTAGCTGAGAGGAGGGATCCCATAGTTCCTATTTTAGACAAATTCCTGCTGATATTCATTTTATGCTCTGCTTATCTACCTCTCTCTCTGTCATTAGCTCTAGTAATTCTAGCACTGGCTCCAATGTAAATTCAAGTATTTATAATTTAGAGCCTAATTTATTTATTTTTTTGGTACCAGAGATTTGAACCCAGGGGTACTTAACCACTAAGCCACATCCCCAGCTCATTTTTAATATTTAAATTAGAGACAGGGTCTTGCTGAGTTGCTTAGGGCCTCACTAAGTTGCTGAGGTTGGCTTCGAACTCATGTTCCTCCTGCTTCAGCCTCCCAAGCTGCTAGGATAACAGGTGTGCGCCACCACGCCCAGCCTTAATTTATATTTATTTGTAAAATAGGACCTATGAGCCAAGAATTGTCATTTCTGAAGGGAGAAATGTACTTGTATGCTGTGAAGTGCAGGAGGCCTTGTGTGTGTGTGAGAGAGAGAGACAATAGCACTGTTACAAAAGCCCAGACAGCCCTGACCTCAGTGTTAGAGGACCTTGTGCTGCAGTAGCCACTGAGCAGCACTTGACCTGAGGCTCCATTAAAAAACATAATGTGTTAGAAGACAGAGGTGCTTTACAGTGATCATTCATTCAGCTGATATTTGTTGTGTACTGGATATGTGACACACTATTTTTTGCATGTGGGAACCTTATTGAAGGAGAAATAGAAAAGTTGACTACCTTGTACAGCATGTGTCATAATGGGAAGAGGCAAAGGATGCACTCTAGGCAGAGTAAGGAAAATGTTGATGTTAGAAAATGGAAAGTATTATGGGAAAGGTGATCCCAGTGTGTGGGGACAAGGAAGATGACTGTTTTACTAAGATGGTCAGCGTGGAAATCACTGGGAAGGAGATCTTTGAAGCTTTGAAGAACATGAGGAATCATTCCTTGAGGGTGTCCAGAACAATTTCGTTCCAGGCAGGAGAAACTTGAGGGCAAGTGCACTGGGGCAGGAGTGTATCTACATGTTCTGGGAAGAATAAAGAAGTGGGGTGTCTGAAGCAGTCACTGAGATTTGGATGGTGGTTTAACCAGATCATGAGTCCTGGAGGATGCTGGAAGATTTTGTACTTTTTCTCTGAGTAATAGGGAGTTGGAAGTCAGTTTGAGCAGAAGAGGACCACCATGTGATTTGTTTTGTAACAGAAATGTGTTGTAATAGGAACTGTGGTTTCTCTGCTGAGAAGAGAATCTTAAGGCTGCATCACTAGGTTGCAGCAAAACTGCAGGGGACTACTAGTGTTCTGTTCCTGGATGCAGACGTGGGTCCCCTCAGCAGAGATGTGAGCAGTGAAAATGGTGGGAGTCATCAGATCCTGGATCTATTTTGAAGATGGACTTTACAGCATTTCCTAATGGACCGAATCTGGAATGTGAGAAAGGAGTCAAGGAGGACACCAGTGGTTCTGGACTGTGGAATAAGATAGGTGGAGTTGCTGGAAGACTATGGAAGGGGCGTACTTGAGGATAACTGAAGATGGAGTCGTGGGTGCCTTGGGTGGAACAGGAGGGGTCAGAGTATTGGGAAGAGCAGATGAGGTATGCCAGGGGTCACACACAAATTTACCAACTGAAGTTTTGGACCCTACTTGGCTACTATCATCAGAGCGAGGGCGGTGAGTGAACCCAGGTCTGGGTCGGAGGTCACAACCCTTTCACATCCCTCATGGGTATCCCGGGTCCCCAAGTCCAAGATGCAAGAATCCATGCATCAGCAGCAGGTGGTGTTCTTCCACTTGGAGTTTCCTTATTTGTGGATGGAATGAGGGAGGACCATATTCATTTCTGGCATTTCCATCTGGAGTTTACTTTGCCTCAAAGGCTGAAGCAATGAAAAATAACTAAATGAATGGGAAACCTTTCCTTGAGAAAAGCTTTAAAACAAATCTGGAGCTTGAAGATGCTGTTGAGGCCTCTGAACCCCAAAGGAAAGCTTTGAACTTCTATAACATCTTCTATAACAGAAGATGTTATAGAAGTTGAGATCTACAATGAAACTGGATTTAGAGGGCTTATTCCAGCTGAAGTTAAGTATTACTTAGAAGCCATTGCATAATAATAAAGTGACTGAAAAATCCAGAACTTCAGATAATCTACTTACCATGTTTAAGCTATGTTTTGTTTTTCAGACTTTTGTATACTTATTTCTGCGTTGTTTCATGAAGTTACACTTTCATGATAACACTTATAAATCATAATGAATTATTAAGTCCAAAATAAATAAAATAACTTGCTCTATATCTAATTTTTTTGTAAGCTCATAGCTAGGTACAAAGCAAAAACCTATGGTATGTGCGATAAAAAAACCCAAATAATCCCCCCCAAAACAAAAACAACAACAAGATACTCTCTAAATAAATAAGGACACTGAAGTAACTGTTTTCATGCCTTACAATGCTATGAATTAGTTAGTTCAGTTTTTGGAATTTATGCATATGGAATCATATAGCATCTGCTTTTTTGTGTCTAGGTGGTATTGATGAAATGTATATATGTATGTATTTTTAGTGAGATCATCTGTATTTTGTGTATTGCAATAGTTTGTTCATTTTCATTCTGTAAATATTCTGTTCTCTATTTTTAAATCTCTCCACTAGTGCAGTCTGCTAAAAGCCCTACTATACTTCTTGGACTCCTAGTTACCACTCTGACTTTGACAAATACTTTGAAGCAGAGTGTTACCAAATACTGACACCACATACCTAGCATTTCCCTCTCTGAACTCTGGTCTCATGGAGTCCTCAGTGCCTTGGTGGCTCTGCGGTGTCTTAATGTGGATGTTCTTACCTACCAGCCACTTTCACCATTGTTCCTGAAGGAGGGTCAGTCTGAAACAGGCTGATCTGCCATCATTGAAAGTGGAAACTTGTGTGTTTTTTTGAAGATACAGTAAGAATTTCTAAATCTTTATGCTATAATTAGTTTACTCATGATGAAAACTGCATATGAATCAATTTACAAATTCAATCCAGTAAGAAAGGAAGAATCCCTCAGCAGACTAACTGACCAAAAATGCCACTTTTTATTTTTTCTCACAAGTGAATAAGGCCAGTGAATTTGTTTAAATAATGGCTTAGAGCAATCACAAGTTAGGGATGATTTCTCTGTCTTGATGTTCATGACTTAAAAACAATAACACACACACACACAAACACACTTCACAATTAAATATGTACATTTGGAGTTTTCTCAATTTTCAAGAGGGATGCTGTGTGGCTTGAGGAAGTCTTGGTTTTTATGTTAGTCAGATTTGCAAAAATACCCGACAAGAACAACTACAGCTACACATTATGTAGCTCTCTTTCACCTCTCCATTCTGTTCTATACCCTTTGGCCAGTACCATATTCTCTTTGGTTAATGTATCTTTATAAAAAATCTTAAAATAGTATTACATAATCTGCACTGGTATGTTTTCATTATAATTCAGTTCAAAATATTATCTAATTTCTCTTAAGTTTTCTTCTTTGATCCAGGTTATTTTGAAAGGTGCTTTTGAATTTTCAAATATTTATTTTCTCCCCCTAGATAAGTTGCTTTTGATTTCCAATAAAATCTGTTTTGTCCCCAAACATACTATGTATGACTTCAGACTTTTGAAATTTATTGTTGACTCATTTTAGTGAATATACTTAGGCACTTTAAAAATTAGTATAGTTCCCAAAAGAAGACATACATATGGCAAAATAGGTATTTCAAAATAGGTATTTAAGACTTTTTAAATTTATTGTTTTCTTTCCCAATAGATTTAACAATATAATTTATTTTACATAGGTTTAGATATTAGGTGTCCACCAAAAGCTCATGTGTGAGTCAATGCAAGAAAGTTTAGAGGTAAAATGATTGGGTTATGAGACTCTTAACCTAATGCAGGCATTCATTCCCTGATAGGGATTAGTTGGATGGTAAGTAAGGGAGATAGGGTGTGGCTGGAGGAGGTAGGCCCCTCGGAGTGTATCTTTGGGGTTTATATTTTTCCTCTGATGAGGGGAACTCTTTCTCTCTGCTTTTTGGTTCCATGTCCTCCTCCACACTCATTTGCCATGCTATTCTGCCTTATCTTGGGCTCAGAGCAGTGGAGCTGCCTGTCTATGGACTGTGACCTCTAAAACTGAAGGTGTCAAATAAACTTTTCCTTCTCTAAAATTGTTCTTGTCAGGTCTCTTGGTCATAGCAGTGAAAAAATACTTTTTCTTGGTATTGGGGATTAAACCAGGGACCTTTACCCTGAGCTACATCCCCAGTCCTTTTTATCTTTTATTTTGAGCAGGAACTCACTAAGTTGCTGAGGCTGGCCTCAAACTTGTGATCCTCCTGCCTCAGTATCACCATGCTTGGCTTTATTGTATATTTTTTAAACCAGAAGAAAGATTTTGAATGTTTTCACTATAAAAAAAATGAGTTCTGGGATTTAGCTCACTGATAGAGTGTATGAGGCACTGAGGAAAAAAAATGAAAATTTTTTCTTTTAAAGCCAGACAAGATGGCACATGCCATTCAGGAGACTGAGGTAGGAGGATCATGAGTTTGAGGCCAGCCTCTGGAATTTAGTGAGATCTTGTCTCAGGTGGGAAAAAAAAAAAAGGCTGGGGCTGGGAATGTACTTCAGTGGTAAAGTGCTTCTGGGTTCAGTCCTCAGTACCATCAAAAAGAAAAAAAATTGATGAGGAAATGTTTAACCTGATATAAACATTACATAATGTATATGTATATACACATTATGCATAGAAACATCATATGGTACCCCATAAATATGTCTAATTTTTATGTTTTTATGTATCTGTTAAAAAGAAATATAAAGTGACATATAGTTGTTGTGTTCTGTAGTGGTCAATTAGGGCAAAATGGTTAATATTGTTCATTTGCATTTTAAAGAAACTAAGATAAAAAGAGTATTTTTTCTCCCAATAGACTTAACATTTCTCATATTATTTTTCCTATCTGTTGGTTCAGGTCTCCATCTGGTATGATTTCTTTCAACCTGAGATATTTCTTTAGTACTTTCTTTGTAGTGTAGTTCTATCTACAATACTGAGCAAGTGTTTCTGCTTCTTGCACTAAAGATGGGCTCTGTCTACCCAGCAGCCTCTGTCAGCAGCTTTCTCATAAAAAGCCTGAAGTCTTAGAGATAAGCCAAGAGCAGGTAGTGTTTCTGACAAAGAGAATGGAAAACCCACATCTGGGAAGGAAGTGACTAAACTAAACGATGATGACAAATGAAGGAAAGTGGAAAAGTGAACATGTGACCAGACCTCTGCTAGTGTCCTGTTTCCTGTTGCTCTGACTGCTCCAAGGGAAATTATCTGAAGGAAATACACCCTATTCTGTCGTCATGTTGGTCTTTCCTGTTATTCAAGCAAATAGCCTGCAGATGGCGCACTAGCCATTCGAATTTCTGGTCCCCATTTTCCTCCCCTTCTTCAAAGGGGAAGTCAGAATCACTAGGGGAAAAGGGAGGATTTGGAGGTACAAATGATCACCATTGACAATTTTTTCATCTGAGCTGGGGTTTCTTTGCAAGAGTGAGAGCACAATTTAGAATGAACAAAATTGCCCTGAAAACAGCCAGAAGAATGTGAAATAGATCTCCTTCCATAGGGACTTCTCAGCCTGAGCAGGGGCTGTTAGGAGAGTCTGAGAGGTGCTGAACAGTCAACAAAAAACATACACCAGAGCTTGCACTCTCTCTTTAAAGAAGAGCAGCACTGACATCCTCAAAAATAATTATCAACAGATGAAATAACATCTTGTTTGGAATTTTTTTCAAAAAGACCCAGTGTGGTTCTGGGTAGGGAAGGAGGTACATCAAGACTGGAGAGCTTCAAGGCTATGGCTGAGTGCAGGGAACGGGACTTCCCTGTACTCTTCTCTCCATTTGTGTGTGTGCTTAACGTGTCCTTAGTAGATTTCAAAATAAGAATCTAGATATCTGTGTTTACTTAAAGGAACTGAATTTTATGACCATCTGTCCATCCATGCCATCCTGTCACCACACAGTGCCAGTGTCTGCTGGGCATTTCTCAGGCGCTGATGTCCAATGTCTTCTGCCCTCAGCATCCCTGGGAAGAGGAGAGTTGCTTAAGGAATTCAGATAAAAAGGCACTGACTCTGGGAAAGCAGAAGTGTTTTAATTGCATGTGTTTGCAACCAGCACACCATCTGTTGAGTTGCATTTCTGTGTGTGGGCCTTGCTCTGTTAAAGTCATGGGGCTTCTAAGGGACATGGCAGACAAAGTGAGAAGCTTTCTCTTACCCTGTCAGGTTCAGATGGCCAGATGCAGGTGCACCTCTGCTTGGTGAGTGCTGGTCTTTGCTTCCTTGGGTTTGGACTGTCATGTTGGAGGTCTCTGTGAGATCAGTAGTTTTGATGCTGTGCATCAGTGAGAGTTTCAGAAGCTCTAACAAAACCCCTCTTGCATTCTAGAAATTAAAAAAAAAAAGGATCCAGGTAACTAGGACAGGTGGAGGCATCATGTTTCTCACATTTGTGAAACCATCAGAGATACTGGCTTTAATTTCAAATCAAAGCTTCAATAAAAATACATTTGAAATGAAATTATAGGGACAAGATGCCTTTAGATATCTCCAAACTCCTCATTTTCCTCCTCAAAACTTGGTTTGGTCACTCCAGGAGTATGTGTGTGTGTGTGTGTGTGGGGGGGAATTTTAAGTACTCCATTGAGATCAGTTGCAGGAAAGAGGACTAGCATTAGCTGAAGGGTCAGCAGAGACACCTGGAAGGTCCCTGTTGCCAGGACATTTTTTTCCATTCTCTGAAAGTATGACAAGATTCGAGATCCTTGGTTTTCAGGGGTCCTATTTACCCCTTTTCCCAAGCTGAGGCATGGTAATGTGGGATGTAGATCGGTGAGTTTTGATTGGGGCAGGTATTGTGCGAAGTTGGTGGCCTCAGATTGTGGAAGTCATACACATACATGGAAGGGATCAGAGCCTCTAAATAGAATGTACCCATTGCCTGAGACACGAGAAACTGGAGACCAGGAATTGAAGGATTCACAGACACCAGCCCCCACTAGTAGCCATGGCTCCTCTGCCTCTTGCTTCAACTGTGTGAACTCTCTGGAAGCTTTCAGATTGTGTTGAGGCCTGAAGTGAGATGATCCTGAGGCTGAGGAGGATGAAGCTCAGGGCCCTTCCACTTGCTCAGGAGCTCTCACTTGCTTAGGGCCTTCTTAACCATCTTTTGCTTTTGTGTGTAATACTATATTTATATTTTTGGATTCTTTTCTTTCTTAAAGAAGATTTCCAAGTTATATAAGCATCAGTCTGCAAAAACTTTGGGTCTCAGGTGGGTGTGGTGTCATATGCCCATAGTTCCATTGCCTCAGGAGGCAGAGGCAGGATGATTGCAAATTCAGCCTATGCAACTTAGTGAGAACTTGTCTCAAAATAAAAATAAAAAGGTGGGATGTAGCTCAGTGGAAGAGTGCTCCTAATCAGTCCCTCCTCTTTGGACTAACTGGGTGATAACTGAAGGCAGGTGGCACATAGCTGGAGGAGTTGGATCACTGGGATCATGCCGAGGAAGGGTTCATCTTCTTTGCAGCCCTTACTCCTTTCTCTCTCTGCTTTCCAGCTGATTTGAAAGGATCAGCACTCCTCTGCCATGTCCTTTTGTCATGATGTCTTACCTCACTTTGGGCCGAAAAGAATGAAGTTGGCCCACCATGGACTGAACCTCTGAAACTGTATGCCAAAATCAACTTTTTCTCCTCTATGTTGTTCTTGTCAGGTATTTTAGTCACAGCAATGAAAAGCTCAATAACCAGATGTGGATGATTCATAAAACAGTCAATGCACAGCTACTAGTGAAGAGAATATTGTTTTAACCAGCTTTGTTGATGTTGTGACTAAAAGACCCAACCAGCATAATTGTAGAGGAGGAAAAGTATATTTGAGAGCTCACTATTTCAGAGGTTGACAGAAGGCTCCATTTCTCTGGCTGAGGGTGAGGCAGGACATCATGGCTGGAAAGTGTAGTGGGGGGAAGCAGCTAACATTATGGTGATCAGGAAGTAGAGATAGAGATTGCACTCTCCAGATACAAATATATACCCCTAAACCACACCCCAATTACCACCTCCTCCAGTTCCACCCTACCACTTCAGTTAATCCCATCACTGATTAGCTACGGCTATATAACCCAATCATTTCTCCTCCAAACCTTCTTGTATTGTTTCACATGTGAGCTTTGAGGGAACACCATATCTAAACCATAACAAATATAATTGGCTATTTTGAAAGAGATCTCATAACATTTATTACAACTTTTAATTGTTACTTATTAGGGTCGAGGGCAGTGTCTGGGAAGAGGAAGCCATGCATAAGAATGCACCATTTCCTGGGTTCCAAACTGTGCCAGGTTATTCTGCCTGGACACTAATGACGCTGCACCAGTTCTCATTCCCATTGCACGTAGGGTTTCTAGGGAAGCCAATCGGAGCCTCGCCCGGGTTTCTGACTGGAAAGTCTACAGCGACTGATTCTTCCTTATATCCCACGGGTCGGGGTCATGGCTCCCCGAACCCTGTTTCTGCTGCTCTCGGGGGTGCTGACCCTTAGCGAGACCTGGGCGGGTAAGTGCAGTGTCGGGAGGAAAACCGCTTCCACGAGGAAGGAGCGAGGGGACCATAAGGCAGGGGCACAGGACCTGGAGTAGTTGCGTCCTGCCGCCACCCTCCCAGACCCTTCCTCATCCCAGCCACGCTCTGTCCTTGTTCCTAGTCTCCCGCTTCCTCCTTTCCGTCTACGTCAGGGCCTTCCAGTCCCGCTGCCCCAGTTCGGTCAACAAGCCCCTAGCCCCATCCCAATCCCAACGACCTGGACTCCTCGTCCAGGGCCGGGAGGAGGGTCGCACCGGGACTCAGCCGCTTCCCTTCCCCAGGCTCCCACTCTCTGAGGTATTTCGACACCGCGGTGTCCCGGCCCGGCCTCCAGGAGCCCCGCTTCATCTCCGTGGGCTACGTGGACGACACGCAGTTCCTTCGCTTCGACAGCGACTCCGGGACGACGCCGAGGGCAGAGCCGCGGGTGCAGTGGATGAAGCAGCTGGGGCCGGATTATTGGGACCGGGAGACCAGCAAGGCTAAGGACGCTGCTCAGATTTACTGGGGCAGCTTGAACAACTTACGAGTTTACTACAACCAGAGCGAGGGACGTGAGCGACCCCAGGCCCGGGTGGGACGTGACGGATCTTCACGGATGGGTCCAAGTAGCCCCGGGTACCCTGGTTAGAGGGTCACACCGAGGCTGCGGGACCCGCGGAGACCCTGGAACCAGGAAGTGTTAATCCGGTTTCGTTTTCAGTTTTAGTAAAAATCCTCGCGGGTTGGTCTGTGCGGGGGGCGGGGCCAGGCGGACTGGACTGACCGCGGGGGCGGGGCCAGGCTCTCACACCCTCCAGATCTCTTCTGGTTGCGACATGGATGCTGAAGGCCGCCTGCTCCGCGGGTACCGTCAGTCAGCCTATGACGGCACGGATTACATAGCCCTGAACGAGGACCTGAGCTCCTGGACTGCAGCGAACGCAGTGGCTCAGGCCACCCGGCGCAAGTGGGAGGCGGCTGGTGCCTCCGAGCCATGGAGAGCCTACCTGGAGGGCCCTTGCGTGGAGTGGCTTGGCAAATACCTGGAAAACGGGAAGGAGATGTTGCTGCGCACAGGTGCAAGGGACCTCAGGGAACCTCCCCATCTGTCCTGGGATTGGGACCGACATCTCCCGCTGAGGAGAGGAAAATGGGATCATCTCCAAAATACTGCCACTCTCTTTTGCTTTGGAACCCAGATAAGTGTTCCTGGGTTTTCATATCCAACACTAGATAGTAATTCGCTGGAGGGACTGCTCTGGGGACAATTAAGAATCTGTCTCAGAATGGAAGGAGAAAAGATCCCCAAAATAGCTGAGTAGCAGTCCTCTTTGACTCAGGCAGCAGAGGTGAACCATGACCTGTTCCAGGTCTTGTTTGCTGCCCCAAACCCAATGTCTTTGGAGATCTGACTGCAGTTATTTGAGTCTCTCTGTCTCCGCTCAGTCAGGACCAGTAGTTCTTTTTCTTTCCCACAGAAATCTGGAGTCTTCTACCATGGGTTGGCTCACCCTGAGTCTAGAACAATGAATAGATTATCCCAGATAATCTGTGGCTGGGTTAGTGTCCGTTTAGTAAGGTCACATGAATAAGGCTGGAATGGCCCACAAAGAATGCAAAATGGTTGAATTTTGAACTTTACCCTTCAGATCCCCCAAAGACATATATGACCCACCACCCCAGACCTGAAGGAGATGTCACCCTGAGGTGCTGGGCCATGGGCTTCTACCCGAAGGAGATCACCTTGATTTGGCAGAGGGATGGGGAAGATCACACCCAGGACATGGAACTTGTGGAGACCAGGCCTGCAGGGGATGGAACTTTCCAGAAGTGGGCAGCTGTGGTGGTGCCTGCTGGGGAGGAGCAGAGATACACATGCCATGTGCATCATGAGGGGCTGCCTGAGCCCTGCACCCTGAGATGGGGTAAGGAGATGAGGGCACAGAGTGGCTTGTCAGTGAAAGCAGGAGCTGTTCTCTGCAGGATCAAGGGCCTGAACCTCGCTTGCCTTCTGTTTCCAGAGCCACGTCCTCAGCTCATCATCTTCGTTATGGGAATCATTGCTGGCCTGGTTGTCCTTGGAGCTGTGGTTGCTATTGCAATTTGGTTGAAGATGAACCACAGAAGGGAAGAGGAGTGTGAGTTTTCTTGTTTTAAGCACTGCCTCACTAATAGGAAGCGACACACACACACACACACACACACACACACACCACACACGTGCGCGCGCGCTCATTTATCAGGGTCTCCTGATTCCCAGCAATTAGAGGTCAGGAGAATATTTCTGCTGAGGGCAGATGTCATGTTGATTCAGACCCTGCACATCTCCTTTCTTTATGTCTCCTGATCTTTCTCTGTCTACAGCCACAGTTCAGGAAACTTCCCTGGAGTCCAGGTTTAGGGGATTCATTTAGACCCCCATGGCCCAGTCTCCTTCCTGGCCTCTCAAAGGTTGAAAAAGAGGGAGCTATGCTCAGGCTCCAAGTAAGAATGCTGGAGGGGATGATCCTTGGGATTGTGCAGTCAGGACCCCATGGGGCAGCTCACTCACTTATACCTTCTATGGGCTCTGCTATATTTGTGTTATAGTTTGGATTTGAAGTGTCTCTCAAAGGCTCATGTGTCAAAGGCTTGGTTCCCATTAGGGCTTTTGGGAAGTAATCAGGTTAGGAGGGCTCTGATCCCATGAATGCTGATGGATTCACAACTGAATGGACTATTGGAGATGATGGATATTGAGAGGTGATGGAAACTGTAGGAGGCAGGGTATAGGCAGAGGAAATAAGTCACTGAGGGTATGTCCTTGTCCCTAGTCTCTTCTTGCTCTCTCTCTTTCCTGGCTGCCATGAGATGAATAGCTTTCTCCACCACATGCTCCTGCCATTATAATGTACTGGTTTTTTAAAAATATATTTTTTAGTGTAGTTGGACATATTTTATTTATTTTTATGTGGTGCTGAGGATTGAACACAGTGCCCTGCACATGCTAGGTGAGCGCTCTACCATTGAGCCACAACCCCAGCCCCTATGAGGTACTGTTTTAACTTAGGCCCAGAAACAATGGAGCAGTGGATCAAGGACTAAAACTTCTGTACCTGTGAGCCAAGATAAATATTTCCTCCTTTTAGTTTTCTCAGTTATTTTGTCATGGCGAGGAAAAGCTGATTAACATTCTTTTTCTGCCCCAGGTAGTGACATTGCCCAGGGCTCTAATGTGTCTCTCATGGCTTATAAAGGTGAGAACCTGGAGGACTGAAGTAAAAGAGGGGGTGGGGCAGAGAGGACAGGACTGGGTATAAGAACTTTCTGTATTTGGACCTTTTGATTGATTGATGGGTTGTTCAACATGTTGTTACATGTAACAACTGCCTTGAATTTGTGCCTGATTCTTTTGTTCTGTAGCATGAGACAGCTACCTGTGTGGGATTGAGCGACATAAGACTTGTTCAGGCCTCCTCTTTGTGATTGAAGAACCTTGGATCTCTTTCTGCAGAGGTATCTAAATATGCCCACATTCCTACTGGCATAATGTGAGGAGGTGGGGAGACCAGCACACTCCTTCCCACGAGGATACCTTTTACCACACCAAACTGTGTTCCCTTTCACAATCAACCTTCTTCTTCAGCAAAGGAAGGGCTGGGTTGTCTCCATCCCTGTCTCAACATCATGGTGCTCTGAGCTACAGCTTCTTAACTTCTGTAGTAAAAATAAGAACCTGAGCATAAATTAATTTTTTCAAATTCTTTTTAATGATTTTTAATTTTTTTGATTTTTAGTGCATTTAGTTGTACATAATAGTGAGATTCATTTTGACATATTCATAACTGCATCTAAATGCAATTTTCTCCATTTCTATCTCCTTCTCTCCCATCCTCCCTCTCCCCTGACTCCCTTCTTTCTACTCTATTGGTTTTCCTTCTGTTTATTTGTTTTTTTTAAATTGGTGTACTATAGTTATTTATTTAAAATTGCAATACATTGTGATACATTCATATATCAGCATAGCATAATTTGGTCAACTTTATTCCCTGATTGTTCCCCTTTCCATCCCCAGATTCCTCCACTTGGTCCCCTGTTTTACTCTACTGCTCTCTTTTCTATTTTTGTGAGATCTCCCCCACCCCATTTTTCCCCCTCTCTAGATTGTGCATATGAGAGAAAACATTTTACCCTTGACTTTATGAGTCTGGTTTATTTCACTTAGCATGATGTTCTGCAGTTACACCAATTTACCAGAAAATGACATCATTTCATTGTTCTTTATGGCTGAGTGGAACTCATTGTGTATATATATCACATTTTCTTTATCCATTTCTCTACTGATGGGTTCTTAGGCTGGTTCTATAATTTGGCTATAGTGAATCGTGCTGCTATAAACATTGGTATACAGGTATTATTGTAGTATGTTGATTTTGGTTCTTTTGGATAAAGACCAAAGAGTGGGATAGCTGGGTCATATAGTGGTTCCATTAATTCCTAGTCTTTGGAGGAATCTCCATACTGCTTTCCAAGCATTAATTGGAGAACAGATAGCCTCTGTAACAAATAGTGCTGGCAAAATATGGAAAGCCACGTATAGAAGAATGAAACTAGATTGCTGCCTTTCACTCTGCACAAAAATCAACTCACCATGGATCAAAGGAAATAGAGCAGAAACATTTGAAACTTGCCAGAAGAACACACTCCAACACATTTGCAAGGTACTGACTTCTTTACTAGGATTCCTAAAGCACAAGAAATGAAACCAAGAATCAAAAATAGGAATAGAATCAAATTAAAAGGATTTGTATAACAAAAGAAATAGGAATGTGAAGAGAGAGCCTACAGAATGGGACAAAATCTTTGCCAGCTACTCTTCTGACAGTGGATTAATAACCAGAATATGAAAAGAACTCAAAAAACTTAACACCAAAAAAACCTAATAACCCACTCAATCAATGAATGAAAGATCTATAGACATTATTCCAAAGAAGAAATACAAATGATCAAGAAATATATGAAAAAATGTTCAACATATTTAGCAATCGGGAAGATTAAAATCAGAGCTACATTGATATTTCATCTCACCCCAGTCAGAATGGCAATCATCAAGAATACAAATAATGAAGCAGGCGTGGTGGCACACACCTACTATCTCAGTAGCTTGGGAGGCTGAGGCAGGAGGATTGGGAGTGCAAAGCCAGCCTCAGCAACTTAGTGAGGTCCTAAGCAACTCAGTGACACCCTATCACTAAATAAAATATAAATAAAGAGTTGGGGATGTGGCTCAGTGGTAAAGTTCAATCCCTGGAACCAAAAACGAAATAAAACAAAACAAAATGAACAAACCAATATGATATGAACAAATATTGATAATTGCTGGTGAGTATGAGGGGAAGAAGTTTTACATTATTGATGGGACTGCAAATTAGTACAACCACTTTGGAAAGTAGGTTGGAGATTCCTCAGAAGACTAAGAATAGAAACAAGATTTTTTCAAACTCTTGACATGAGGATTTGGTCAAGTAATTAAAGGACATTTCTAAAGAAATAAAATAAAGAAAAGAAATAAAGGCTCTGAAAACCTTCTCTGGATTTTCCCTATCGCTGACATTAGCAAGAGCTACTCCCCACCCCACCCACATCATTGCTCTTACACAGGTCCCTAAACAGGTGACTCTATATTATCAAGAGATGAATCTTCAGACTCATGAGGTCCTGACCTCTTTCCAGAGCTGTTTACTTAAATGCCTTCTTTTCCATAATCTTTAAAAATCCTATATCAGATTTTAGAATTAGTAGAGAGGAGGGATACCACAGTTTCTCATCTTAGGTTAATTCTTGTTGGAATTCTTTTTCTGCTCTGCCTACTTATCCCTCTCCCAGCCCTAAGTTCCAGTAATCCTGGTACTGGCTTCAAGGTAAATGCAAAAACATATAAGGCAGAGCCTAATTTAGATTTACATTTACTTGGAAAATAAGACCCATAAATTAAGGATTATCCTGTGTTGGAGAAATATGATCCTGTTATATGAAGTGGAGGGAGGAGGCTTGGTGAGAGAAAGGGAGAGGGAGAGAGGGCAGCACTTGTGAGAAAAGCCCAATCATTCCAGATATCAGTATGAGAGGACCTAAAATAAGGTTAAAACCTTAGTTTAATCCTAAGAACTGGGATTACCAGCATGGACCACAGCGTGGGCTCAGACACATTTATATATGAAGGGTAAAATCACTAGGGGTAGATAGGAATCCAGATCATTGCAGACTATGAAAATTGTGCTTCCCTCAGTGGATAAATCAAAGGAAAAAAGTCTCTGGGAATCTGTGTGGTTTCCCAGGCACTTCTCTAAGATAGAAAGGGAAACCATTGCTTCTCCACCTCCTTTCCCCAGGGCTGCTCACTCTCTGACATCATATTTGCTGGGGATGTGCTTTCTTTTAGAAGGTCTATCCTTGGCTTCTTCAAACAGCCTCTGGGCCAGGACTCAGAGAGATGACGTGAGAAAGACAGCTTGGTGCTGGAGGAGAAAGGTCAGAAGAAAACCGCAGGTCCTGGGCGTGGCCCAAGGTCTCAGGCCTGAAGGAGGTTTCTGGGGTTGGGGAACCAGAAGAAAACCAAATCCCCACTTTGCAGGAGTTTCACTTCCTCCTCTTTCATCCTGAGTTCTTCTGCCTGGTGACTCATGACGCGTCCACAGTTCTCACTCTCACACCAGTGGTTTCTAGAGAAGCCAATCAGAGTTGTCGCCGCGATTCCAGGTGACAAGGTCCAGGCACCGCTGCAGGAACTGATTCTCCCTGTCCTTGGAGGTGTGTCATGAAGTTCAGAACTCTGTTCCTGCTGCTTTTGGGGCCTCTAACCCTGATCCAAACCTGGGCGAGTGAGTACCGGGTTGGGCGGGAAACAGCCTCTGTGGGTAGGATCTAGGGGACTGCCCGGCGAGGTCGCGGATTCAGGGACGAGGCATTTCTACCTTGTGAAGCCTGAACATTCCCTGGGACTCAGACTCGCCCTGTCCCGATCTGAATCACCGACCATACCGTCCTTTCGGTCTGTCCCTTTTCTGTCTCACGAGTCCCCTCGTCCCCTCCTCCCATCACGGCCCATCAACCTGGGACCCTGGTCCTGTCCCAGGAGGTGGTCGCATCGGGTCTTAGCTGCTCTCTGTCCTCAGGGTCCCACTCTCTGCGTTATTTCCACACCTCCGTGTCCCGACCTGGCCACGAAGAGTATTTTTACACCTCGGTGGGCTATGTGGACGACACACTGTTCCTGCACTTCGACAGCGACGCCCCGAATCCGAGAGTGGAGCCGCGGGTGCAGTGGATGGAATTGGAGGCACCAGAGTTTTGGGAAGCGCAAACCAAGATTGCTAAGGCTCATGCACAGAAATTGAGCTGGAACCTGCGCTCCACTCTCCGTTACTACAACCAGAGCGAGGACGGTGAGTGACCTGGGACCAGGTGGCAGGGGACAAATGCCCCCATCTCTTTGGGACAGGCCATGGTCGACTACAGTCTCTGAGACTGCGACTTAGTTTCATTTCCAGGCCTCCAACATCCGTTGGCCCCTCGACTCAGAAAATTTGGGCGAGTTAGGTGGGGGTTCATTTTACATTTATGCAGAAGCCTTAGACCAATCCACCCCTCCTCCTCCCCCCCCTTCCTGGGTTGCCTGGCCAAGTTAAGCACCAGAGGTAAAAGCTGGAGCAAAGCCAGTCTGACTTCCGGGGCGGGGCCAGGCTCTCACACCTTCCAGTGGATTTCTGGCTGTGACCTTGGGCCAGATGGAAGCCTCCTTCGTGGATATGAGGAGTTTGCCTATGATGGTGCGGATTACATCTCCCTGAATGAGGACCTGCGATCTTGGACCGCCTGGGACAAGGCTGCTCAGATCACCCAGCGCAAATGGGAGGATTCAGGAGATGCAGAGCACTACAGGGCCTACCTGCAGGAGGAGTGCCTGGAGTGGCTCCGCAGATTCCTGGAGAAAGGGAAGGACAAGTTGCTGCACACAGGTACCAGGGGATGAGGGGAGCCCGACATAGTTTGGACAAAAATGGAATTGCTAACAGAATACCAGAGGGCCTTCCCTCCTCTCAAGACAATTAAGGCATCAAGTCTTTCTTGGAATGGGGGAGGGAGAAGATCTCTGAACAAACTTAAGAGCACATTGCTTGGACCCTGACAGCAGCCTTGGGTACCACAAGGTGACTTTCTCAGGCCTTGTTCTCAGCTCCACATTCAAATTGTTTGAGGTTGGACTCCAGGTTTTGTGAATCTCTGGGCCTCCATTCAGGTCAGAACCTGAAGTCCCTCTTAGAGACCTGGGGCATCTTTCCCTGGTCAGTCTGATTCTACAACTTTCCAAGGAAAAGGAGATTATCTCAGAAGCTTGAGTCCAGGCTGGTGCTTGGGTTTTGCTTTCCTTCCTCACTTCCATTGTCCTGTCTGACTTAGTATGGTCACATGAGCACTGGTTCAGTGGCCATGGGAGGTAATGTAAAATGTCCAATTAAAAAATATTTTTAGTTGTAGATGGACACAATACCTTTATTTTATTTATTTATTTTTATGTGGTGCTGAGGATCGAACCCAGTGCATCCCATGTGTTAGGCAAGCACTCTACCAGTGAGCTACAGCCCCATTCCCAAAATGTTTTATTTTTCTAATTCTTCCCTTCAGAGTCCCCAAAGACACATGTGACCTATCACTTCAGCCCTGAAGGAGATGTCACCCTGAGGTGCTGGGCCTTGGGCTTCTACCCTAAGGAGATCACCCTGACCTGGCAGAAGGATGGGGAGGACCAGATTCAGAACATGGAGCTTGTGGAGACCAGGCCTGCAGGGGATGGAACCTTCCAGAAGTGGGCAGCTGTGGTGGTGCCTGCTGGGGAGGAGCATAAGTACACATGCCATGTGCATCATGAGGGGCTGCCTGAGCCCCTCACCCTGAGATGGGGTAAGGAGGGGATGAGGGCATAAAGCCTCCTGCCAAGAAAGCAGGAGCCATTCTCAGGGCTGAGAGCTGGTGGTTACAGCATCTCATCTTCCCTCTTTTCCCTTCCCAGAGCTATCTCGTCAGCACACCTTCTCCATGATTGGAATTCTTCCTGGCCTCTTTCTCTTTGGAGTTGTGTTTGCTAGTGTGAAGTGGAAGAACCAGATAAAAAGAGGCAAAGTCTGAATTTTTTTTGTCCCCCTATGGGTTTCAAGCCACAGGCAGGTATTTTCCAGTCTTTTGCTTTGTTACTGAGGAGCACCATTCACATGCATGTGTACCCAGAGTGAGGCCCTGTGTGCTGACACTTTCTTAAAAAGCACAGTGAAAAACAGGAAAGTTTTTACCCTGATGATTATGACCATGGAAACCTGATTCCCAGCAGTCCCAGGTCATTTTCTTTATGCTTCCTTCCCTGGGTCTGCAGTCACAGTCATGGAAATGTCACTGTTTTAGGACCAGGGGATTTCTCTAGAACCTCATGGCCCTGCATCCTCCCTGATCTCTCATAGGACACTTTCTGTCTACTGTTGGAAAGAAAAAAGCTACACTTAGGCTCAAATAAGTAAGAGTTGGGGTAAGATCACTGGGACCCTTGGGGTAGTATGAACAGGAGCCCTGTGGGGAGCTCACCTACCCCATGATTCTCTTTAGCTATAGCTCCTTTGGACTCTGAGTAGTTTTCTTTTCTTTAGCTGTTGTTGTTCTATCCTGGGCAGGGAAGAGTCCGAGGGGTTTAATGAATCTCTCATGACTTCTAAAGGAGGGTTGGAAAGGAGGAAGAGATAGAATGTAGGGGGCACAGCTGGGTTCTGGGGACTCTAAATCTGGACCTTTTGAGTGAGAGATGTTCAGAATGTTGCCACTTGGAGTGAACTTCCTAAATTTGTTCATAATTCTTTTTCTGCAAATGACTCTGAATGTGTCTGAGTTCCTATTGGCAAAATGTGAAGGGGTGAAATAACCAGCCTATCCCTGCCCACCAGGACCCTCTTCCCCATACTAACCTGTGTTCCCTTCTGTATCAGAAAAGGGGCCAGGATGTCTCTACCCCTGGTTTAACTTTATGTTGCATTGAGCTGCATCTTCTTATTTCACTATTGAAGATAAGAATCTGGGTATGAATGTGTTTTTCAAATTCTTGCCCTATAAAGAGAATGACGAGGTTATTCAAGGGGCACAATATTCCACAATTTGTGAGAGAAAACAAATTGAGATCTGAGAACCTCCCAGAGTCCACGTGTTTGCTGTGTTGATCTGCTGCAGTGGGCACTGGAGAAGGCTGTAAGGAGCTGTGTGTGGGCAGGGCTGCAGCCAGGCAGTGCTCAGTCTCTGTGGGCTTTGATGTGGTCACTCAACAGCTGGTTGTTCCTCAGTAGAGTCTTGTCCACTAGACCTGTGATCACAGGGACTCAGATATTTCCTGGGCCTTGTCCTGTGTCCAGGACCAGAGGCAGAAAGGGTTTGTGTGGCCAGATCAACGTGGTTCATGCCTGAATTCAACCCTTAGCTCCCATTTTGGGGGTTTCTTTGTTTCTGTAGAGGATTATGCCTGTTCTTATTCTTGTGAATGAGTTCTGGTCTCCTGCTTTGCATCTAATTTAAATTATAGTTGGTGGAAAATTAAATCCATCTGCTTAGGGTTTTTTTTCCTCCTAAAGGGGAAAATGAAATGATGTGCTGTAGAGTGCAGGAGGGCTGGTGTGGGTGGAGGGAGGGAGGGAGGAAGAGCAGCTCTTATAAGAATAGTCCAGGCAGCCTGGACTTCTATGTGAGAGGACATTGTGCTGTAGCTGCCACAAGCAGCCTTTGGCCTGAGGCTCCATTAATAATGATAGTGTCTCTAGAAGAGGGAGATGCTCCGGAGTGATCATTCATCCAATTGATACTTACTGTGTGTCAGATCTGTTACACTGTTCTGTACCTGGGAAACACGAGTGAAATTAAACCAGTTGTCCTCTCTGAGGAGCAGATGTCCTAGTGGGCAGAGGTAGAAAATTTCATCTAGGCAGTGGGTAGTTTTCATGGCAGGAAGTGGCAAGTAATATAGGGAAGGTGATCTAGCGCATGATGTGAGGCAGCGAAGAGGGCTGTGTGCTGGAGTGGGCAGCGTGGGCATCATGAAGAAAGTGAGATTTGAGGAGAGACGTGAGGACCTGAGGTAATTAGCTATGAGGACACCTGGAGGAGTTCTTTCCAGGCCAGGGGAAGTGCACTGCAAGTGACAGGGCGGAATGAGTGTGTAAGAGTATGTGTGTGTGTGTGTGTGTGTGTGTGTGTGTGTAAAAGAGAAGAGAAAGACTGAGATGATGTCAGAGGGGCTTCCAGATCTGTAGCCTAAGGGTCCTAGAGAGCTTGGGCTTCATCTGACAAATGCCTTGTCATGATGTCCACAGAGCTCTGCTTCTGCCCGGGAAATTCCTTCACATCCAAAGAAGTGTGACCACAGCTGGAACTTCGGAATCTCTGCTCCTACCATCTTCTCCCTCCTCCTGAGGTAGCTGGCTTGATGAGGGGTGCCGTGGCCTTTTGAAGACTTCATGACAGTGGCAGCTACATGGAGACACCTTGCAGCTGGGTCAAGGTCCCTCAGGAGGCTGCACGTGCTCTGAACTAGTGTCTGACAGGTGGTACTGTTTCCCCCACAGCCAGGATTCATGGGTCCAGGAATCAAGAAATGGGAATGGGAGTGGCAACTCTCACTATGGCCCCCAGTGACCCACTAGCAATGTATGCGCTTCCTGTGCCAAGACCTTATGCCCTGCTGGCCTGGAGATCTTAGTTTCACAGAAGAAATGCTTCCATCAAGAGACAACAATGAGTTCACTGAATTGGAAAGGACAACTGTCACTGGCCATGTTGGGCTCTTCTTGCTTTGAGTCAAGAGCTCAAGAGTGGAGTTAGCTGGTGGGCCTGAGTGATGGATCCTGGCAGCCAGGGGGACATGGGACAGCTGCTCCCCAGGGAGGAAAGGAAGGGAATGTCTGGAATACAGGAGTCCCTTAGGGTGCCTCTTAGTGTTACATCCCCTGTGCTTAATGTCCATGGGAAACTACATCAGCCCAACCCAGGCAGGACGAAGAGTGGCCAGGGCCCTTCAGGAATGAAGGTTGGCATCACCACAGCAGGAGAAATGCCACAGGCAGCTGAACTACTTGCTGAATTGAAGGGAATATGGAATGGGAGGTGGAAGAAGATAGTTATGAGTACCAGCAGCAACACATGACCATTTTTAGAGGAGAGGACTATAATTTCATTTGCATATCTTCTTTATTTTATTATGAATATGTTTGTGGTATGTATTTATTAATCAAATATACTTATTTTCTTGAGTCTCACCTTTTTATACATGACAAATAATTTTGACTGTTTATCATAGTATTAAGCATTTTTAAGTGTATGTCTTAGTGTTTTGCATTTTGAGATGTCTATCAAGGAGAGGAGGAGAGTACATCACAGAGGGACTTTGCATCCTGTATTAGGAAAGGGATGGTGTAGTTCAGTTGTATGCAGGAGAGTCTTATCATGTTAGGTGGAAGTATAATTTATTATTCTCTTTAAAACAGAAGCCATCCTGGTGCTCAGAGGGATTGAGGTGTGTGATCAGAGCTATCCCAGTGTGGGATATGTGTTAAAACCTTAAAGTTTTTTTCCTTAGAAAGAAAAGGTGGACTTATGTTGTCAATCATGGTATGTGAATTGGAAGATCATTTTGTTCTCACCCCATGAAGTACAACCAGGTGGACTATGCAGAAAGTGGATCAGAGCTCAGCATGGAGAATATCTCTGTTGCTGCTCTCTGAAATGATTCCCCAAACCCATTTATCACTTCTTAGAGTAAAAAATGGAATCCAGAATTTTTCCTCTTTCATGTAAAGTATATATCATATTGGGAGCTAATTACATGTTTGGGAAGGCCACTGAACCAGGCTTAATGTTATGTAGCCAAGGACAGAAATACTCTGATGACTAACAAAGGATTCTGTGACTGGTACTGCCGTTGCTGCTGATGCTGGGAACCGGTCATCACTACTTCCACTTGAGCCACTATCCCTTATGTGTCTGCCCTTCCCCAGCTCCTCTGTCATCATGTCCTGGTCAGAGTCCAGCATGTGGTCATCTGACTGGTGGAGCTGAAGCCTCATGTTGTGTTCCCCTGTAATAATGCCTGGGAGGTGGAGTTTGTCTTTTTATGGAGAGAAGTGGTTTCTGACTCTTAACAAGACAAAAGTGTGGAATTACCCTAACTTAGGAAGAGATTTTAGTGCCAGGGCTGAGGAATGGAGAAAGAATGGAACATTCTAATTTTTGGAACAGTGATCAGGGACTAGAACTTCATGTGTTGTTTGTAGATTCTCAGATTTGGATGATGAATAAGTAACTAATGAATGACATCTTCTCATACATTCCCTTGAAAATGTGTTACTAGATCCAGTTTTGGTCTATATCAGCTTATACTTGAGACAATGAAGTGTCTTTTTGGGATGGTGAAATGGTCATTAAAAACACCTCCTGGCCTTTGTCTCTTATTAGTAGTGTAAAACAGCCAAGTCTGTACTCTTCAGAGAATCTGCATGTACCCTGATGTTTTCTAGGAATATTTGTATTTTCTTGTGCATGAAAATGTTTCTAGGGAGATAACCTCTAACATCTATCAGTTTTTTGTGTTGAGTGCTGCAAAGGACTTTAAAAAACCTGAATCTTCCAGTTTGTATGTGGTGCTACCATCAGTCTGGACCATGACTAGCTGGTGGCATTGTTTTTAGCAGATCTGAGGACATGAAGTAAATCCTCATATTTTGCTCATCTTTTGTTCTGGAATTTGTCTTTGAGAGATGGCAAGGGAATTTTTTTCCCCTCTATCCATCCAAGTATGTGATTCTCCACCAGCAACTGGGAGTTCTGCTATTGAATCCTAAGACTAACTTATGTTAATGTCACATTCTAAAAGTTCAAGGGCTCTTCCCACAAGGCTTCCCTCATTTAACATGCCAGAGCAAGCATGGAGACCCTAGGTTACTACACTTCTCTTTTACCTGGTACAATGTTGGAGGTTTCTGTAGCCTCTTTCTTAAGTGTTGATGATTTAATAGAAAACCTAACAGAACCTAGGTAAAGGCCGTTTATTATTATAGTTTATAAAGGGCACAAACAAGCAGCCAGAGGTAGAGGTATACAGATAAGATCTAGAAGTGGTCCAAGTGCAGAAGCCTCTGTTCCCATGAATTTGGGGTACACCACCCTCACAGCATGTGGATCAGCAATATGGAAGCTCTCCAGACACGGTTGTTCAGGTGTTCTGTTCTAGTCAAGGTTTGAACTATTGAATGAAATCCAGTAATAATGAGGAGAGCATTCTGCTTTACTCAGACTACAAATTAATTGTTAATCTGATTCATAAAACACCCTTTGGTAAATATCCAGTATAATGTTTTAACAAATATCTGGGCACTATGGTCCAGCCAAGTTGATATATAAAGTTAATTACCAAATTTCCCAGGTCAAGAATATTCTAAAAAAATTTACATGAGAATCAATTAAGTGAGAGACAAACATCTGCTTTTGAGAATTTATGAAAAATCAACCAACAAACAAAAAACCCACCAGCCAGTTCTCCCAAAGACTTTTTGCTAAATTTTATTGTTCACCAGAGAAAAGAATGTGAAAAGCAGCAGAGGAAGAAGAAAATACTTCATGGGAAAAATCATAAAGACGACAGCAGCTTTTGTATTGGAGACAAAGCAAATGAGAACACTGATCAGCAACGTGTTTGAAGGACTGAAAGGAAAATGCTGTAAATTTAGAATTATTTCCCAGCAAAAGTATCTTTCACAAATGAAGCTATTTCAAGATGAAAGAATTCATAATGAGGGTGAAAGAATTCATAATGTATGTCCTTCAGATCAAAAGAAAATCATACTAGATGGAAAGGTACATGGTTAGATACATAAGATTTTCTTATTATTTAAAAATCTCTTTAAAAGAGAATTTCTTTTTTTTTTTTTTGCTTTTCTATCTTATTTTCTTTCTTTTTTTTTGTAACTTGGGATTGAACCCAGGGGTGCTTAACCACTGAACCACATCCCCAGCTCTTTTTTTATGTTTTGAGACAGGTATTTGCTAAGTTGCTTAGGGCCTTGTTAAATTGCTGATGCTGGCTTTGAACTTGAGGTCCTCCTGCTTTAACTTCCCATGCTACTGAAATTACAGGCGTGTGCTACTGTATCCAGTAACTTAATATTTCTTGACTTCACCAAGAATAGTGTTGTAGACTACTCCAACAACTCATTCATCCACTAAAGCAGCTATTAACTTATGAACTTTGAGACTAATAAAAAATCTTACAACAATTAAGAGAGTGCTTAATGTATGAAGAAGCTCCTAAATTTGTTAAGAAAGCATTTTTACTTTCCTCCTCCCTCCCACCAGCTCTGAGTGCCACAGTCCTGGTACAGTTTCCTAATATCAGAGGAGGTATATAGATTTGCTCTCTAAGAAATATGGTTGTGTGATTTGATATGATGGCTCCCTGAGCTTGTCTTTGTTGCCCTCTCTGCCTCCCTCAAACTTTATTAGTGTTGGTGTAGTCTCCACAGCTTATACTAACAGTGGCCACAAGTAATCACCTGCAGACTGAGTACAAGAACAAAGACTGGATCTTCATCAATTATACCTACAAGCCTTTAAAGGGCCTGATTGGGGAGGGGGAGGGTGGTGAAATGGAAGCAGCAAAATAGAACCCTTGTCATGGAATTCTGAGTGGAGCAGAGTTCTTTGTACAACATCAGAGTTTTCCTCTTACACTTTTTTGAAAGAACTTCCATGAAGTTTATAAAAGCCATCAATATGTCATAGTCAAGTTTCCTGAAATGTGATAGTAAGTGGATTTTCTTCCATAATGTATCTGAAATCTGAAAGAACAGTGACAGCCATTTTTTACTACATTGGCTATAAGGCTTCTTGAGAAGCATCATGAGCCAATTGGATAGGTGTTTTTAAAAATAATTACTATTGGGGCTGGAGTTGTGGCTCAGCGGTAGAGCGCTCATCTAGCACGCACGAGGCCCTGGGTTCCATCCTCAGTACCACGTAAAAATAAGTAAACAAAATAAAGTTGTATTGTGTACAACTAAGAAATAAATATTTAAAAAAATTACTATTTCCCCAAATTCATCAGAATAAAGGGGAAAGTAGCCATCATTCAACATTATTGAGATTCTAATGTACATTCCCTAAATATCAGCCAATTCCTGATATATGGTGACACACTTCTCTG